GGCCAGGCGGAGGCCGGCCCGGAGGGCGGCGAGACCTGAAGCGTCGGGCGGGGCGACGGGGGCGGCGGGGGCGGCCGGGGCGGCCGCGCCGGCGTGGCTACAGGGCGAACTCGGCCACCAGCGGCGCATGGAAGGAGCCGGGCTCGCGGCCCGCCTCGCGCGCGCAGTCGTCGATCAGGTGGGCGTTGAGGCTGTCGATCCGGCGGTAGCCGGCGAACAGCGCCTGGCTGACCAGGATGTGGTCGACCATCAACGCGCGGCCGCCATGGCGCAGCGAGAAGCGGCGCTCCGCCGGCAGCCCCGGATCGAGCGGCACCAGCGCGCGGCCGGCCTGGGCGCTCACGCCGGTCTTGGCGACCGGCGCGGCCAGGATGTCGAGGGCCGCCGCCTCGCCCTCGGCATTGAAGTCGCCGCAGACCGCGATCAGCGCCTCGGGCTCGGCGTCGAACAGCGCCTCGACCAGCAAGCGCGCCTCCAGCGCCTGGGCGCTGCGCAGCAGGCCGGCGTGGTGCAGCCCCTCGGCCCAGGCCGCGGTGCTCCGCCAGTGGCCGCCGCTCTTGCCGCCGGGGAAGGCCGCGGCGAGCGGCGCGCGCAGGTGCAGGTCGATCACATGCAGCCGGCGACCGCCGCCCAGGTCGATCACGGCGTGCAGCAGCGGCCGGTCGAAGGACAGCGTCACGCTCTCCCCCGCACGGGTCGCGAGCGGCAGGTCGAGCGGTGCGACGTAGGCGTGGTACAGCGAGCGCCAGCTCGCAATCGGCAGGCGGCTGAGAATCGCCAGGTTGTGACGGTCGGCCAGGCCGCGGCCCTTGCGCCCCAGCGAGACGCAGCGCGCCGCCGTGGCATAGGGCGTGCCGGCGAGCAGCGCCTCCAGCCCCTCGGCGCGGCGCTCGCCCCGCCGTCCCGCGCCCTGTCCACGGCCCTGGCTGCGGCCCTGTCCACGGCCCTGGCTGCGGGCATTGACCTCTTGCAGGCAGAGCAGATCGGCCTCCAAGGCCAGCACCAGCGGCCGCAGCGCGGCAAGGCGTCGCTCCAGCGGTGGAGCGTGGCGGTCGTCGCCGCCGAGGCTCTCCAGATTGAAGGTGGCGAGGCGCAGCTTGCCGATGCGCGGCGCGGAGGAGGGGGGGCCCGAGGACGCGGTCATGGCCGGCGACTATGCCACCAACCGGGCGCGGCGGAAAAACCCTGAGCGGTTGCGCCGAAACATCGATATTGCCACAATGGTTGTGGAGATATGGCGGTCACTCTCCAGCTTGCGAGCCCCAACATGTCCATGCTGCAGACTTGGCCTTGCGAAGATGAAGAGGCGACTCTCGACGAGATTCTGGAGAACGTCTGGCATCTGCTGACCCGCGGGCTGCAGGAGCGGCGCCACGGGTTCCACCTGCCGGTGCTGGCGACCTTCGACCCGCAAAGCGGCCCGCAGGCCCGCGCCGTCGTGCTGCGCGGGCTCGACCGCAGGCAGCGTCTGCTGCGCCTCCACACCGACCTGCGCAGCGCCAAGGTGGCGGAGATTGCGCGGGAGCCGCGCGTCGGGCTGCAGTTCCACGACCCGGCGGAGCAGACCCAGGTGCGGGTGCAGGCCGTCGCCCGCCTGCACCGGACGGACGCGGCGGCCGAGGCGGCCTGGCGCGGCACGCGGCTGTTCAGCCGGCGCTGCTACCTGGCCCGGCACGCGCCGGGCACGCCCAGCGAGCTGCCCAGCTCGGGCCTGCCGCACTGGGCCCTCCACCGCACGCCCGGCGCGGCGGAGAGCGAGGCCGGGCGCGCCAACTTCGCGGTCCTGCTTTGCGAGATCCGCAGCTTCGACTGGCTCTATCTCAGCCATCTCGGGCATCGCCGCGCCCGCTTCGCGTGGGACGCGGCCGGGCGACTGGAGGCCACCTGGCTGCAGCCCTGAGGCGACGGGCGCGGCCAGCGCGCAGCGGCGCCCCCTACATCGCGCCCTCTACATCCCCGCAAGGGCCGGGCGCAGGTCGCGCTCGAAGAGCTCCAGCAGCGGCACGATCTTGGCGCCGCGGCAGCTCTGACTCGGCAGCATGGCGTAGACCTCCTGCTTGGCCTGGTAGTTCAGGCGCAGGCGCTTGGCACCGATCTTGTTCTCCACCGCCGCGTTGATCACCTCCATCATCGCCTGCTGCTGGGCCTTGTCGAAGTCGACCTCGTAGCAGCGCTCGGCCGCGGCGATGGACTTCTGATAGCGCAGGAACAGCGCCTCGGCCTCGCTCTCGCTCAGCGCGGCCGCCGGACCGCTGGACAGGGCGGCGACCAAGGCAACGACAGGGGCGAAGAGGACGGCGAAAAGCGGGACGGCGCGCGCTCCGGCAAGGGTTCGAGGTCGCATACGGCAGGACTCCCTCACGGTCGATTGTCAGCATGCCGATACTGGCCCGGCGACTGTAGCGGGAATGCGGCGTCAGAACGACGAATTCGGCTCGCGCAGGAAGGCCGCCTCCGCCGCCGTGGTCGCGCGCCCCAGCACGGCGTTGCGGTGGGGGAAGCGGCCGAAGCGCTCCACGATCTCCCGATGCCGCTCGGCGTAGACCAGCCACCCGGGCTCCTCGTCGAGCGCGGCGATCAGCGCCACGCAGACCTCCTGGTCGGCCAGCGACTCGCTGTGCTCCAGCGGCAAGTAGAGGAACAGCCGCTCGGCCTGGGTCAGCGTGCGGTCGTGCCCGGCCGCCACGGCCTGGCGGGTGATCGCCCGCGCCCGCGCATCGCAGGCGAAGGCCTGCGGCGTGCCGCGATGCAGGTTGCGCGGTGCCTGGTCGAACAGCAGGACCAGCGCCAGCGCGCCGCGCGCCGTCGCCGGCCAATGGCCGCAGGCGCCCGCGCGCGCCCGCGCCAGCGGCGGGCCGAGACGCCGCGCCACCTCGGCGTCGAAGTCGGCGTCCTTGACGAACCACTTCGGGCGGACCTCCGGCGCGAACCAGAACTCCAGGATTTCCTCGATCTCTCGCATGCCCTTCCCTCTCTCGCGCTCGCGCCGGCCGCCGTCTTTCTGCTACAAGCGGCGGGCATGACGAAAGCCCTCGCCCCCGCCCGTCCCGTTTTCCGGCGTTCCGGCCGACGCCCCCGGCCCGGCCTGGCCCTGTTGCTCGCGCCGCTGCTCGCCGGCGCCATCTGGCTTGCCCCAGGATCGAGCCCCGCACAAGAGCTGCCGCTGGTCTCGCGCCAACTCCGCTTCCACGACGCCCCGGCCGCGGCGGGCCCGGCCGAGCCGTCGGCCCGCGCCAACAGCCGGGTCGAGGTGATCACGCGCCACATTCCGCGCGTGCCGCTGCCGCCGGGCGCGCGCATCCGCCCGGCCCTGGTCGACCCGGTCAGCGGCCGCTACCGCGAGCCCGAGGGCGAGCGCGGCATCGTGCTGCCGGAGGCGCCGGCGCAGCAGCCGGAGTCGGCCATGCCGCGCCTGGTGGTCGGACAGACCTACATCCCGCCCTGGTTCGACGAGGTGCGCAACGTGCGCGGCGGCCGCGGCCCCGACGCACCGGTCCCGCGCGCCGGCCCGGTGAGCCCGGAGGACCTGCGCATCACCCCGCCGGGCGACCCCGGGCAGGCCCCCGACGGCGCACCCGACGGCGCTCTGCCGGAACAGGCGCCGACCGCGCCGCT